AACTCGATGAGTTGTTGAAAAATGGTTGGATAAAACCTAGCTCCTCACCCTATGGTGCGCCTGTGCTCTTTGTGCCTAAAAAGGATGACGGCGTTCGCATGTGTATAGATTATAGAAGATTAAATGACATAACCATAAAGAATGCTGAACCATTACCGCGAATAGACGATTTGCTGGATCACGTGCAGGGAAGCAAAGTATTTTCAAAGATTGATCTAAAGTCCGACTACCATCAGCCGGAGGACCAACATAAGACTGCCTTCAAGACAAGGTATGGGCATTATGAGTTCGTAGTTTTGCCCTTTGGTCTCACAAATGCCCCTGCCACTTTCCAAAGAACAATGAACGAACAATTTCGTGAGTGGCTCGATAAATTTGTTGTGATTTATCTAGACGATATTTTGATTTTCAGCAAAGATGAAAAAGAACATGCTGAGCACCTTCGACTTGTGCTAAATAAGCTAAGGGAAGCAAAACTCAAGATAAACCCAAAGAAGTGTGAATGGGATAAGCGTCAGGTTCTATACCTGGGACATGTGATTGATGGAGATGGGGTAATACCGGAAGATGCAAAGATAGCAGCAATTAGAGATTGGCCGAACCCCCGCATCTTGACTGAGTTGCGGACGTTCCTTGTGTTAGCCAACTACTATCGAAAGTTCGTAAGACACTTGACGATAATAGCTGCTCCCCTTCGCCGATTGCTTAAGAAAGAAGTAATTTGGAAGTGAGATTCAGACTGCACTATGTCTTTCAAGCGTTTGAAGAAGTGTTTGATCAATTATCCGGTTCTGAAAGTAGCAGACCCTTCATTACCTTTTGTGGTCACGACCAACGCTAGTCAATATGGTATAGGTGCTGTACTCCAGCAAGATGATGGGCATGGGTACAGACCTGTAGAGTTTATGTCTTGCCGCTTACCTAATGAGAAGGTGGCCGCTTCAACGTATGAATGAGAGTTGTATGCTTTGCGTGAGGCTCTCAATCATTGGCGACACTACCTTCTAGGAAGGCATTTTAAAGTATACTCTGACCATGAAACACTTCGCTKGCTCAAAACGCAAGCTCGAATGACACCTAAGTTGACAAGGTGGGCTGCAGAGATTGATATGTTTGACTTTGAGCTGAAGCCAGTCAAGGGCAAGTATAACGTTGTTTCTGATGCACTAAGTCGTAGATCAGACTTTTTCGGTCCTATTGTGACTTATCTAGATGTAGGTGCAGACCTACAAGAAAAGATTAGAAATGCGTATCCCTCTGATCCTGTTTATGGAACCATGATTAACCTAGTGCAAGAAAGGCCAGCAGAGTCTATTGTTTGAACGAACTGATGTGCATGATAGGCTGTGTATACCCAATAATGAGGAGATCAAGAGTGTGATCTAGGGGGAATGCCATGATATAGAAGGCCATTTTGGGTGGAAGAAGATCTATGGGACCTTGTTATGTTCCTACACCTGGCCTCGAATGAGACTATCGCGTATGTGCAAGGCTGTCAAGTGTGCCAACGAAACAAGAGCACCACGCAATCGCCCCTTGGGCTACTTAAGCCCTTGCCTATCCCTACCGGCCCTGGAGACTCTGTCTCTATAGATTTCATGGACACTAAGGTAAAAAGCAAAAATTGGAAGACGCAAGTAATAGTCATAGTGGATAGATTCACTAAGTATGCTGTTTTTGTAGCTTTGCCTTCGGAAGTGAAGACTGATTTAGTGATTCGAGAATTCTTTAATCATTGGGTGAAAGACTTTGGACATCCCTTAACTATTGTGAGTGACAGAGATACTAGGTTCACAAGTGAACAATGGCAGCAACTAATGAATGTTTATGGCTCTAAGTTGACAATGTCATCAGGTAGGCATCCTGAGATTAATGGTTAGACTGAGCAAATGAATAAGATATTGCAGCAAACTTTGCGCATGTACATTCGTCCCGATCAGATTGACTGGGATGAACATCTGCCTAAAGTTGCCAGTGCCTATAATAACTCTGTACATCTATCTACATGTAAAACTTGTATGGAGTTACATCTGGGATGGCGTCCGCGCAGACCCATTGATCGGTTGAACCCGGATCAAGTCCATAAGCTTCCTCTAGGAACTAGTGAATTTGCAGTCCAATATCAAAAGGACATTGAGAAGGTAAAAGAAAACATACTCAAAGCCCAACATCAGATGATTGAACAAGCAAATAAGCATAGATGCCCGTCTCAATTTGCTGTAGGAGATTTGGTTTGGGTGAAATCTAAAGAGTTTGCTCCTGAAGAAAACACCTCTCAAAAGCTTTTACCCGCGTACAGAGGTCCTTGGCAGGTTCTAGACGTAATTGGAGATGTGGATGGTCCTTCTTATGTCGTTGAGATTCCTCTACATCTACGTACGTATCCAGTGTTCCATGTGTCCAAGCTCTTACCTTGTGTAATGAATGAGCTCTTCCCAAGTCGCCGATCAGCGATACCTCCAAGTATGGATGGGAAGTATGACGTAGATAAAATTGTTGCAGAAAGTACTTACCACACTGGACGTAGAGGCAGACCACAGCGACAGTATAAGGTGAGGTTTGCATACCAGGATCCTAGTGAAGATCGCTGGTGTACAAGAGAAGAGCTGTTAGATTCTGTACCTCATATTGTGTCTGCATACGAAGGCGCAAAGAGAGGGATTCATATCCTTGATAGGTAAATGATTCTCAGAGGACTTCGAAATTAGGCCGGCGAGAGTAAAAGGGCCTTTACCTGATGTAGGCCTCAGGCCTTGTGAAAGTAAAGCAGTACGGGCCTGGTAAAAGTAAAGCA